CATATGCGACTGAAGCATCCTGTGCAGTGGGATCAGATTAAGACCTTAAGATGGACCTATGTCTGATTAACAAGCGAAAGTTGCTATAAGTATAATTACATGTTGTAATTTTAATATTTTTTTTTATATTTAATATTTTTTTAAATATTTTTTGTGAGGCTCTTGCCAAAGAAATTTCTTTTGTTTTTTAATATAGTCACTGCGCGGCGATAAATATCTAATAGATTAGAATCGGACTTTACAATTCGGAAAATGTTGGAATTATTATGAGTATATCTTATTAGAATTATTGTCGTAAAAATAGCTCAATAAAAATATTTACATTTAATTAAAATGTTTGAAAATATTGTCATTAATATATAATTTAGTATTACAAAAATTACTACACATATGATAGAATTAAATCAATAATTACGTATAAGAAAATAATGTGTTTAACTAAATAAATATAATATATATTTAAATGTATATCAATTGACAATCATTTTTGTATACAAGAAGATTCAGATTTATGTTCGTTTATTACTTTCAGTAAGAACAAATTCCAAATTAAAATGAAGTATGTTATCTCCGCGCAAAAGCTATTTGCAATTATGAAAGTTGGAAGAGAGTCTGGTCGATACGTAGATTGGATACTTTATAATACTATGTGCAGAGTATCGAAAGATATGAGCGAAATACGAATGTGTGGAATTAGCTAAAAATAAGTATAATATAATCTTTTCGCGTGATAGGAGATGCACAAAAGAAAATCGAACTATTCAGTGCTTTATCTCGAAACTGTCACATATGCACCCACCGTAAAATTTATCCCTGACGAAAAAAACGCACATTGTATATATTGCGAGAGATTATAACGACAAAGGAGAAAATCTATAAATATATAAAGAGCTATTATATAGAGTATACATATATATGTACACATGAGAGAAATACACAAGAGAGATATACATATATATATAGAATTGATTTTGTATAAAATGTACGAAGAACAGTATTTCCTTAGAATCCGAAGCGTAGACCAGACCGTAGGATCAAGCGATACATATAAACACACAGCGACGTTCGGTGTTGAGTGTAAGCAGACGCCGACATCGAGATATAATGATTAGATATTACGTATCTAAAAGAGAAAACAATGTTCCTCTAAGCTGAGTAAGCCAGCCTTATGTTAAATAACGTAGTATTAAGAATGTAGAAATCGAACGCATGCCGAAAACGGCAGCGACAATCGCGCCGAAATCGAGCGGGTCGATTGGCTCTAAAGATTCATTTGCTCTAAAGATTCATTTGCTCCAGCGACGAGAGAGAAACGTGGACAAAGTTCGATGTCAGAGAAAAAGAGAGAAAGAGAATATGTTGGTATGTGATTATTAGATCGCAAAATTGCGTGAAAATACACAGATTTTTGTGAGCGAGTGAATCGTGAGTGAATATGTCGACTAGAAGTAAGTTCGCTCGACAACACGCCTTATTTTTCTACAGTCTTACGTTTATCAGTATTCCCTAAATAAAGAGTTCTCTAAGAGACATTACGTTCGAGATCATATATATTAGAACACGCCGCAAATTATTTGCGGCGTATTCTAGAATACAAAAATGTATGTGTGTGTATGTTTGTTTGTTTGTTTGTTTGTGTGTGTGTGTGTGTGTGTGTGAATATATGTATATATGTATATATATATATATATATATATATATATATATATATATATATACAGGGTGAGCCATTTTAATTATCCACCCCAATAACTTTTTTATATTTGAATGTACAACAAAATGTTTCAAATAAAAGTTGCTTGACTTCGATGAAGTAAGCATTAATGGGTGGCAAAAATTTGACCTTGGGATAGTCATTTGAAGGTCACATAAAGGTTACCTTCAATTTCTTAAATGGGAACCCCTTATTTTTCATTGCATATTCTTGTAGCTTATCTCGAGAGCTTTCCAAAACACTATAATTAAGTACCTTTTCATTAAGTACTTTTTGAGTTATAAGGCTTGAAATAATTTCTTAATTTTACATAAACCATAAAATATCTAGTAAATCATTCATTTTTCGATTATCTTACTTTCATACTTTTATGTACAAAATAATGAGAGGAATCAATTGGTGTAAAGAAAATACATAATTGTTTCTAAGAAAAAATATGTAATTTGCAATTAACAATTCCATATTTTTTCTTAAAAACAACTGTATGTTTTCTTTACACCAATTGATTCCTCTCATTATTTTGTATATAAAAGTATCAAAGTAAGATAATCGAAAAATGAATTGTTTACTAGATATTTTATGGTTTATATAAAATTAAGAAATTATTTCAAGCCTTATAACTCAAAAAGTACTTAATGAAAAGGTACTTAAGTATAGTGTTTTGGAAAGCTCTCGAGATAAGCTACAAGAATATGCAATGAAAAATAGGGGGTTCCATTTAAGATTTCAAACTTGCCCCCCCTCACCGCCCAGGGGAGGGGTGGGGGGCTGATTTTAACGTCATTGTACGTCCCCCTCGAAATGACGAAATTTTGATTGTAACCATTTTTTCGTAGTGTGCTTATTTTTCGAGTTATTTGGCTGCCTAAGTTAAAATGGGTCACCCTGTATATATATATATACACAGGGTGTCTGGAAAATTGTCCGCAGTACTTCGGGAAATGATTTGGGAAGAAGAAAAGAAGGAAAAAATATAAACATAGGTCCAGAAATAAGTCGTTTTCGAGTTACAGCCACTTTTATGTTTAAAAAGTTGTAATTTATAGTTCGCTTGGCATCCCCCTTTTTAAAATTTTTTTTTAATTTAAAATTTTTTAATTTAAAATTAAAATTAAAAAGTTTTAATTTAAATTTTTTAATTTAAATTTAAATTTTTTAATTTTAATTTTAAATTTAAAAATTTTAAATTTAAAAAAGATTTTAAAAAGAGGGATGCCAAGCGGACTATAAATTACAACTTTTTTAACATAAAAGTGACTGTAACTCGGAAACGATTTATTTCTTATATTTAGCTGTTTTTCCTTCTTTTTGAATCTCGAATCATTTGCCGAAGTACTGCAAGCAATTTTCCAGATACCTTGTATATATATATAAAAAAATTATATATATATATATATATATACATATATATATATATACACGTACGTATGTATGTATGTATGTATATACGTATGTATGTATGTACGAGTTGTTAGTTGTGATCTCGAAAGGAAATGTCATTAAATATGAGGAATACTAGAGTGTGTGTACTCATAATTATAATAATTTTTAAAATGTAGAAACGCATAAAGAATGCATTATATCGATATATACAGAACATCGGTGACTGCAAAGCATGATTGCGATTTTTTTTTTTCGTTACGTATTATTTATTGTCAATTGTTATTATCATGACTGACAGTTCGTATGGTGAATAATGTATAGAGTATTATATGCACTATTTTAGCAAGTATTAGCTTATACATATATATATATATATATATATATATATATACATATAAAACATACGAAATGAAATCTATATATTATTTAAGTAATGCTTTGTATAATAAAAAGTATTCAGAAAAATCTAAAGTATTCTATTTTAACTACAACTTTTAATTATCATAGCACATTAATGCTACCATTAACATTAATGTACCACTAACATTAATCTGAGGATAATACAACTAATACAATTAATAGGGCAAGTATGCATTTTATATTAAGAATAACTAAACATAAGTAAAACTAAATGAATATAATTCACTATATTTTAAACTTGAAAATTAAACTAAAAATTTTTAAACTAAAATTTAAACTAAAATTTGTAGACTCTTTTATTTTTCAAAATAAAAGAGTAAAATAATAAAATAAGTAAAATAAACTAAAGAACATATGCTAGATATTAGTGTTAACTTTATATATTAATAAATATATATATATATATATATATATATATATATATATATTGTATTGTATTGTATTGTATTTATTGATCCCTTCAGGGTTACAATCTCTTACATATGTCATTTTATTCTAACTTAACATGGTTACAAATCTCCTACATATCTTAACACTACTCCTTTCTTAACCTAAACCCAGCTTCTTATAATTATTCCTTCCCTTTTCCCTTTCTTCCTATTCTTTCCTCTTCCTTTTTCCCTTTTTTAATCCGTCCTTCCTTCCAATCCTCTTTTATCCCTCCCATTCTTCCTCCATCTTCCTCCTCTTCTTTATCCCTCTGTCTCTGTGCTTCTCTGTTCTTCTCATTCTATTTCTCTTCTAATTCTGTCCCCGCCTCTTCTCTTCGCTTTTCCTTCCTCTCACCTTCCATTCTTCTCTCTCATTCACGTACTACTCTGCGATTCCCACCCCTCTTCCGCGTCTTCCGCTTTTTTCATCTTCACCTCACTTTCGCACTCCATTTCTCTGCTACCTCTCTCCTCTCCAGTCTCTTCCGCCAATTTCTTCATCATCATCATCTTCTTCTTAATCATCACTCTCAGCTCCTCCGCAGATCCTTCCACCATTCATTTCTCCAGTTATTCTTTCAGTCTTCACTCCCTCATTTGCTCCACTCTTCAACATACCCCTCCTCTCTCTATATTCCACTGGCGCCTGTGCGGCCTCGAATCCGCGCAAATGCTTACTTCTCGCAGAAGGCGAGTCTGCGCCACAGCGTGCAAGACCACACAGGCCCCTATATATATATATATATATATATATATATATATATATATATACATAATTTATTCATAATATATGAAGAAAAATTTTAGAAAAATGTCAAATTTGTTCGATCGAGTAAGTAGCGTGCGATCAATTAATCGATATATACAAATAGTTTACATGTATAATAATCTATTATAATTATCTTTATTTTATTCAAAATATGATCTATGTTAAAACTATTTGTATCAGGTAACTATAAATTGATTTTATGCTATTTATCGATCAAAGAAATTTTCCATTTTTTGAAAAATGAAATATTTCTTTCACATATTTATTTATCTTTTATTTTCAGTTAGTCGACGAGGTGTGGACTTGATACGAGTACGTGCTACGGATCCACGACCTTGCCCAAAATGCGGAAAAATGTATCGCTCGGCACATACCTTACGCACTCACTTGGAAGACAAACACACAGTTTGTCCGGGTTATCGGTGCGTCCTATGCGGTACAGTAGCGAAATCTCGGAATTCTCTACACTCACACATGTCGAGACAGCATCGTGGCATCAGCACAAAGGATCTTCCAGTCTTGCAGATGCCTAGTCAGTTTGATCCCGAATTGGCATCCCGGTTGTTGGCAAAGGCTGGGGTCAAGGTGAGTCCAGCTGAACTTCGTGCTCGAGCCAGCCCGACGGCGCCACGAAGAAGTGACGTAAGATTAGAACTACCTCGCGGAGGCGCTCCGTCTGAGGCTGGCAGCAGCATTTGCGGCGGCGATGATCCAGAAGATCTCACTTTACCTCTCGCCTTTAAATCTCTCAACAGTCCATCTATGAAACTATCTAACTCTATCGCCAGCGTAATCACCAGGGTAAGCGGCAGCAGTAATGGTAGCACCAATGTCAAGAGTTCGACAACGACGGCAGCGATCGCCGCCAAATCTCTCGATACGATGCATGATAGTCGCGAGCCCAACATGGCGCCATTGCATTCATCCGGTCCTCATCCGAGTCATAATACTAGCGCAATTTCTGGCTCGGCGCTTCTAAATACTTATCTGCAACTTATTGTAGAAAACTCGGATCTTGGACCGGCAATAGGCAATATAAATACGGATCACGCCATACGTATGACTCGAATGGCCCGAGAGTTTGGTTCCAAGGCGCAGATGGGCGTCGTAGAGGAACACGGCGCTCGTAGCCTGGAAGATCCCTATCCTTTAATCGGTAAAGAAGAAGAACGAGTATCTGGTATTCACGAGGATAGGGATGAGATGATGCATGATAGACATGCCGGGCTCGCGGACGAAGGAGTAATATCGGGGGTAGAAGATGAGGATGAGGATGAGGAGTACAGCGATAACGAGGAACCGGAAGTAATCAAATCTGAATAGGTTCTCGTTATTCGTTGCAACTATAGTAACTCAGGGCAATGTTGGGGATGTCGGTCAACATGATTGTACAGCAGCAACAGCGTCAACTGTCTGATCCAATGCAATCTCGTTGAGAAGGGAAGTAGAAAGCGAGATAGAAGGTCAGCCATCGAATTCGATCGATGTTTTTGTTTGTTATTATCGCGCGGAGAATCGCAAAAATATTATACTTCGGATGTTACCTCGTTATGTTATCGGATGTGATTGCAGAGTGATTGAAAAAGAAAACATCTCGATCATTTTAACGTCAATTTTATAGACGACGCGCGAACGAACTTGCTAATCGTATCCAATTAGAATCGCAAAGGCAAGTACACGCATATGTATATGCATATGCACATGTATGCGCGAACACACACACATATATCCACAAATATTCCAACTATCTACCTCAACGCATATGATAGAACGATAGATGATAGAGCAGGCAAAGACGAATCTCAGTAGAAAAAGAGGATATGAAGTAGGATCCATATTTAACGACGATTTAATTGGAAACAAGTTGCCAATGATGATGTTGTGCTTGCAAGTTTAAATATCGAAATTGATGATTGAGCAAAAACTCATACAGTCCGCAATATTAACATAAATAATTTTATTATTACATTAATATTTACTGCAAATTACGACTTCAATTTATCTTAAAAAATGCAACAAAATACGACAAAAAAGCGCTTTAAAAATTAGGTTATAAATTTTAATATGCATAAATAAACTTGGAATTTATTCAGATTTAAAATAAAAAATAATAATTTGAAGAAGTAATTTTGCAAATTAGAAAAAAGCTATATAAATCTATAACAAATACATTACCGGATAAAACTAAATATTATTACTATTATTATCTATGAAACAAATCTTTTGTGACACTTTTGATGACAGGTTTTTGAATTCAACAACAGAAATTTAAATATCAAAATATGTCAAGTTTATAATAATTCATAAATAGGAAAGTTTAAATGTTGATTGATTAAATGTTGAAAAGTTGATTAATTAGATTGTTCCAAATTCATGAACTTAATAAACACATATATGTATATATATATAATTGAAAGTATTTTTACTATTATGCAATATATATATATATATATATATATATATATATATATATATTGTATAATAGTAAAAATACTTTCAATTTTTTTATTTTATTATTGATTATTGATTTATAATTCCTATATTGATTAATTTTCTGTTATACTCAGAGTTGATACGAAATATTTCTTTTAGATATGAAAGATTGTGAGAAATCTGGAAAGAATAGACACTAGCTACAGCTGGCAAACAAAAGATATTCATAGAAAATAGAATACGCATTGACTTTATATTTGAAAAATTCGAGAGTGTTTGATCTATCCAGAGCTCTATTATACAGTTATTAAGAAAAACTACTGTTCAGAAAAATTGCTTTTTAATTTATCTTATTTGTACGTAAATAATTATTTTGTCGAATTTACTTTAGTAACGTAATAGCTTAAAAATTTTATACTATTTATCAGATATAAGAATGCATTTCATATTAAATTATCAAAATTCTTGCTAAAGTGTAACCGATTGATAATATCTTTTATATGATAAAATTTACATTAATGTGATTTTATTAGAAATGATTAAGATACATTAATAATATATTATTTTTTTATTATTAAATTCTTATTTAATAATAAAAATTATAATTAACGCATTTTTATTATTTTTATTGTTAAACTTTATTTAATAATAAAAATAAATAATGTATAACTTATATGATTTATATTCAAAATTATATTCAGGAGATTTTTATTTATCATTTCTATTTATACTTTTCAAATTTCAGTATTTCATAATTTCTCAATAAAGCATGATCGCTATATAATTTTGTATTAGCATGATTCAGAACGATGACTTCAACAACATATATTAAGGTATTAAGATCATTCAGCTTTTTAATAAAGATAATATTCATTTCCATAAAAAATGTTTAAAATGTGTCTTAATTTTTATATCGCTAATAATCTTTTATATATATTTTTTTTATCTAAAAGAAATCCATTTGCAAAATTTCATTTAAATCGGAACATAATCATTTTCGGAACAGCACAAAAATTATATATATTCTTACATATAGGAAACAATTTAATTAGTTTTTATTTTAAATATTTCTCATTTAAGAATTATTATAATCTTTTTATTTTGATATTAAAATTTTTATCCCCAAATAATTTCAAACATCTGTGTGTCAGTATAATTGATGTGTCATAAAATCTGTCTTATAATATATTGTATATGCAATATTGAATACATATATATCGCTTATAAATCTATGAACTGATTAAATACTTAGACATTTGTAACAATTTTTCTATAATGTTTGACATGACAAATACGCATAACAATAGCGTCTTGTTGTATATATTACAAGTAGAAATTATAATTTTATTACAATTTTTATGGCAATAATAATTTCCTAAAATATATTTGGAATCTATTGTATCGTGCTTTGATATTTTTGTCGATTTTAATAGATTTTATTTATCATGTTCAGTTTGAGATCATGAATTAATATGTAAATTACAAGATTGAGCAATTAAAATAACAAACAAACATAATACAACAATTTATTAATAATTAATTTGAAATTCAAAAACTATGAAATGCTATAAAAGCAAATTTTTTTTGTAGCATGTTAAATGGTTTGTGATGAACAAGTCAACTATTGTATAGTATTTGGAATTTTGGAATATTTTGCGGCACGTATCGCGCTATTGTTTACACCCAGTCGTCTTGTCATTCGCGCGGCGCCTTGTTATTCGCACGGCGAAGATCGAGCTGGCAAGTAACGGCAAACTACTTCTTGTGTTATCGCATTATTCTTCAAAAATAATCGTAAGAAGTGGTATTGGAAGATACTAAGTATACGCACAGAAGTATGTACAATTGGATGGTACAACGTGACATACATATGAACTGCAAAACTACGCAATTTTCTGCAAATTCGCAGGTATTTCTAAATTTTTTTATGTTTCCTTTAACTCAGGGCTTTTGTTAGAATGTTGTTGTATATTCCTAAATGAAAAATCAGTAGTTTGATGTTTTTTCAATGATTGCATTAAATGTACAATCAAATATGTTACTGATGCGCTTATTTTATGAAAATTCTTTATCATTTAAAAAATATTTCTCTTCATCTCCTTTTACCTGTTTATTTAAATTATACATAATTAATTATATAGTTTAATTGCTTTATGCTTGAAATAATAAAAAAGAATTAGTAAATCATGTGACATAAAATATAACGTTATAAATGATTACGGTATAAATGGAGATGCACTGAACATCATTAATATACTCGATTGTACATACGCATGATTTTGGATACATCCGATATCTAACTTAGAATCTATCTATAAAAATCACATACTTCTATATGATATACTAGACTACGTACTGCGGCTTATGAGACATACCTTTTGTTTATGTATCTATCTTGTACATAAGTTAGAGTGCATGCGCGAATAAGGGACCACTTATTGTCGTCTGTAACTTGAACTTTTATGATTATATTCATTCCATGGTCCTCTATTTCGTGCATGCGCTGTATCTTAATTTTAATACGTATTTTTAGGATACGCGTAAAGTTAATATACAGGATGTCCGTCGTATCATCCGTTCGTAAAAAAAAAAAAAAAACATAAGTAGATCTCGTTAAATCGAACTAAAAACACCCACAGAAAAGATTTCTAAATTTAATGCTATTATACTTCAATCTATCATAAAAATAGGATAGAATCGATATAGCGACAATCATATTTTTTATTGAAAAAAGAATATTTTAATCTTAAATGGAAAATTCTTAAATCTAGAATGAAATGATCCTGATACTAGTCGCTTTCCATTTACATCAAACTGTAACGATGCACTCCTAAATGCATCGTTTCCCGGCGAATATCGGCCGGAAGCTGCCGCTCGACGATCACCGGTCAGGCTGAGGCAGAGGCGCAATGCGCCCATTTTTTAATACTTAGATTAACAACCGGGTAGGAACCGATAGATCGATTATCGCGACGCTGCCGTCGAAAGTCGACCTCTCCGAATATTTTTACCGCCGTCCGGTGGGAGTAATTACCGAATACGTGGGCAATTAGCCGTGTATAAAATGAGCTCTCGGCGGTACAGATGGACAGATCCTACTGATCCTTCTAGAGGAGCAAAGCTAGTCCGAAGGCAAGCAAAGCGAAGAAAATCCTAGCGAAAGTAAAAAGGCCAGAAGGTAGTGCGAACCCTGCCTCTACTGATTGATATCGATGCTTAAGAAATCGTCTCCGTATCATCAAGCGAATATCAGGCGTCGCGTCTGTCACGAAGTGGAACTTGAGCCGCCTCCGACGCTTGCTAGTATCGCGACGCCTTCCGCAATTCTCCATCCATCCAGGAGCATATGCTCGTTTAAAGATCCGATCGAGAAATCGAACTTTAAATCCTCGTACGAACAGCTGACGGAACGTAAATACCGAGCAAAAACGCGACCGACTATCCGCAAAAACACCAGCGCGCCGAATAATCGTGCACTCAATTATTGCACGCGTTACTATATTGCGTAATTCCGCGTCGCTAATTATCTGCATCCGCGGAAGATCCGTGACACGTCCACGGTTCGATTTTGTTTCCATATTATAAAAACAATCTTATTTAATTTGAGACAAAAGAATAAGAATTATTGTTTTAGTTTTAAAATTGTTTCATTTTTACATTACATAAGATTGTGACCGGATTAAATGTGTCAAGAGTATTTTTCGTCTTGTTATCAGAAATCCTTTCTGAGAAGGAAATCATACCATTTGAAATGCACTACGTAAAATTCAAGATATTAATTAAAAAAGATCGGTCAACGCGCGCGGCGACGAAGGCGGTCTCACTGTAATATAATTATTAATTGCAAATTACATATTTTTTCTTAGAAACAACTATGTGTTTTCTTTAGCTACTTTTTCTTCCAGCTACGCCGATCTTTTTTAATTAATATCTCGAATTTTACGTGGTGCAGTTCAAAATGGTATATGACTTTTTAATTTGGTTTAATCAGATCTTATAGTTTTTTTGGGGGGCATGTGATATGACGGATACCCTGTATAAGAGCCACACACAGTCTAGTTATTATATAGAAGTTTGTGATAAAAATTTATTCCTTCTAGAAAAATCAGATACCAGATGTACATACATTATTGAAAAAAATGTGCTTTAACTTTATGTCTCTTATAGACTATACAGATTGAATTGCTTAAAATAACACGCAATTGAATTTGATTAATTGCGATTGACAATTTATTACTTAATTTTAGTTTTTTTTAATAACAATTTGAACAATAATTTGAACAAGGAAATAATAATAATAATACTAACAATAACAATAATATGAAAATAATAATAAAAAAAAGAGAATTAATAGAATCAGATGCGGTTGATATTGCATATATTAATTAATTTTCTTTAGAGAAAGAAAGGAAATGTAGAAAATACAGAGAATTAATCTGTATTTGATAAATTCCATTTTAATTTTCCTGTAGCATGTCCCTTTTCCGCTCTATCATCTACTGTATCCGATACGCTATTATAGAAAAGCTATTTTAGG